GAAAAGGCCTAAGCCAAAGAAGCTCTTTTAATGTACAAGATTTTGATAATTCTCTCTGTCTTAAATCTTCTTTTTACTGGCAAACCCATTAAAAAGGGAGTGGCAAGGCATTTTAAGTATGATATGATGTTTTCAGATTTCTTTAATCCATAGATCTGTGGCTTTCATCAGCTTATGCTGAATACAACAGTCCATTAGGCCATTTTTAAATTTCTGTCCTTTGCCAGAAGAAGAAGGTCAAAATTAACTTTCTGGCCTATGAAGCTGTATCAATTTACCTTTACACCTTAAAAGGTGAAAAATAAAAATGCTCAAATGCTTTTATATTAATCTCCTAAATTAATCCATAGTGGTCCTCCCAGCTCTTGTATGAAATTGCATAGCATTTGTTATGGAACTGACATGCAGTTCTATATCTCTATTATAAAACATGACAGTAAGTTGCTTTCCCAGTGTCTGTCCAAAACAAGACTTTTGAGAGGATAAAGTCATATGAGGCTCAGATTAAATACAAAAATAATTGTGGGAAGTTCAGGAAGTTATAGCAGGAATAGTACCTGCTTCCTTTTTGGAGTTCACCAATAGCGAACCTAGAGAAAAGAGCCTAAGGAGCATCTTTAGCGAGATTTCAAATGTCTTTCAATGATAATATATAACTCATCATTTATCTTCCCTACAAAAACAACTGTTATTAGGTCTGTTCTTACAGCCCTAATATAACAATACTGGGACAATCTACTTGTCCAGCAGAGTAATCGTAATCTATCACTGATTTATTTTCCTGTTATATAATGTATTTCATTGTTATATATATTTTATAGCCTAAATTAAATATTTCAAATTATCTATATTTTAAATTTACTCAGAATCCCTAATACCTTGCATAATCAAAAACTGACTGTATCGGTCAAATTAAAATACTAGAGCTTTGCCTTCTATCATTTTTCTTCCAGAGAACTGTTTTTTACAAGTATACGTTTTAAAAGATATAGCTGCCATAGAATTCATATCCCTTTTTCATACAAACAGAAGCACATTTTTACATAGTAGAGATAATGCAAGTTTATCACTTAGAAAAAAATTGAATTAAATAGTATAATTTCATTCCATATTAAATTATTGTTGGTAAAATATGCTAAATAATTTGAATAAGAAAAAACTCCACAAACCTCCATCTTGCTTACCAGGAAAAAAAAAATCCATAGTCACCATCAAGTTGTAAACTTAGAGCAAGTACCTATACAAATATTTTACTCCTTAATCTTCAGGCTTCCTCAGCTTTTTTTATTTTTTATTTTACCTGTACCGCTGACGGCTTCATCTGATACTTAGGTTGCTTACTTTTAATGATTATTCCCCAGTGAATTAATTACATGGTGCTATTGTTTGTTCCTTTGAACTGAAGTCAATGCAGAGAACATAACTTTCATTTTGTTATACAGCATTCATAATTACATTCTTTCTATTCACTGCTATAGTTCAGCCTTAACATCAGATTCCCAATCATTTGAATACTTAAATTTAGGATGATAGTTATATGTTGCATTACTACATTACATTCAGATAAGAAGCTGGTTTCCTTTCAATTATTTTGAAAAAATATACCATACCATCATGATCTTAATTTTGAAAAATATTTTACTGACACATCACTTTTATTTTAAAATTCTGCACAGAAGTACATACTACTTATAAATTACTAACAGGAAAATAAAACAGTGTTTGTGCATCCCATTAACAAAATTACAGGCACCTGTATATTATATCTGTCCTTATGAAAGAAGCAACCTCTAAGAAAACATGGTGTCAGGTGTGAAGAATTTGCACTTTGCTTCTTAAAACTGGATTACAGTAATACCTAATGGAGCAAAACATACTAAGTATTTAATTTCCCTTAATGGAAAAAAAATCCAAATTTGCTCATGTGTGTTACAACACTAACTTCTAAAACAACTAATAAATGAGTTGTTTTCTTGTGCAGGTAATAATATAATACTCAGACAAAATAGTCATTTCTACAAATTCTTTTAGTTGAACAAGACTTTAAAAATATAAAATGGTCCAGTGAGGCTTTCATTGGGGAAAAAAAAAGTAGCCAAATGTGTTATGTGTTTACCATGATGTTTGCACTGGATAAAGCATATTTTATATTGCCCTGGGTGGCAAGATGTGGATGGGGGTATGTATTCTATTATCATCTGTTAGAGGTGGAGCAGTTATCTTCTGTTAATTGGGCAGTTTTCTTTATCTCTTCCACAACCAATCCTCCCTCCAGGGAGATATCTTCTGTTAATGGGCCATTGAGTATCACTGCATGACTGATAAAATGACATCATCCCATTGTGAGATGCTCCACCCAGAGAGAGGAGCCAAGCATTCCTAACTGGATATAAGCTGAGATTTGGAACACCACAGTAGCCTTTTCCTACTGGATTCTTAGAGGAAGACTAGGCCCATCTACACCAACACTGGATCTTCAGAGGAAAACTACACCCTTCTACAGGCTCACTGCTTCAACAGAACCACATCTGTCACTCCAGGAGGACTTCAGGCACCATTTCAATTGGACTGCTACCACCACCCTGACCAACAGGGTGTCAAGTCATATTCTGACTCTGTCAGTGTTGTTTTGTATTACTGCAATTTTTTTTATTATTTTCTTCCCTAATAAAGAACTGTTATTCCTGCTCCCATATCTTTGCCTGAGAACCCCTTGATTTCAAAATTATAAGAATTCAGAGGGAGGGGATTTACATTTTCCATTTTAGGGGAAGCTCCTGCCTTCCTTAGCAGACACCTGTCTTTCCAAACCAAGACAAATTTAGAAGACACCTAGCATTTGAAAAGCAAAATTTCAGTATTTACATTTTATTTAGACACTAAATCATCAATTAAGGAAAAAAAAAGTTATATAAATAAGTTACTAAAATCACCTATAGACTCCATCAACATGAATTGGTAACAATCAGTTAGAAGCAGAATAAGTAGTATCCCTAGGCTAGCTTTGTCGTTTTAGAATCCCATTTTCCTTTGAATTCATTGGTATATATGTCCACATACATATGGGTATGTGAACCCTAAAAAGGTAGTTTATTAAACTTCAGTTTGTTACCAAAAAATGATAAATATTTCCCCCCTTGACTTACAAAGTTGCACTGTATTAAATTAAGCACAAAGAAACATAAATTTACTACATTAATTATCTTTATTGGAAATGGATAGCTTGAAGTTGTGAATGAATAAACATTTATAGGATTTGGACCTTTTGTATTAACTTGGAACAGAGGTATATAATACATTTCTTTCAGAGCCTAGTTTACTCTGTCTTCATTTAACTTACATGACTATGTACCCATTAGATATTAATATCTCCAGTACTGAAATACTGCATTCTCTAGTAACATCTTCATTTCTGTACTTTCAAACAAAACCACATACACTTGTAAAACAAACTTTGATTCATCCAACATCATAGATTTAATAGCTCTTTAAGCTTGAGGGAAGCATTTTAAATCTGTATTAAAGACAGTGTTATTCAGGAAATCCTAAGACTTGAAAATATTTAAGTGCATTGGTACAAGATATTATCCCTTTGTACAAATAATATCCATCTAGCACTGAAAGAGTGTGTATATATGTCACAGGATATTTAAAGCTAGCTGTGTTCAACTGTATGGCTGAATCCTGAAGTCCACAGACAAGGACAGCTTCCTCTAAAAATCAAAGGATTTTTGTCCAAGTACTGATGAGCAAAACGAGTAGGAAAAGACATAGTTAATTCATCAGATAGAAATGCTATTAAGCTGTTCTGTGATTGTTCACAGTTTTATCTGTACAGAGAAAAACCAGAAAAACTTTCAGACTAGGAGATTCTCTTTCACCAAACACTCCTTCATAATCCACAATTAAAATATTTCCAGTAAGTCTGGTGATGGCAGAGAGCATCAGCCTCCAGCAAAGGGCCCTTCATCCAAACATCAGCATTTCCCCCCCGTGCTCATCCTAAAAGGTTGTTTTTCAAAGCCACTCCACTTCGGTACGTCCACTTGTAAATTCCTCACCCCGGCAACGCTTTCAGCATCGGGTGTTTCAGTTCCTGCGATGCGGCCTATTTATACCCACACAGATGAACACAAGCGGTAACAGTAACTCCAGGAAGTGTCTCAGATCTGACACATCTTATCCACGGGGGCAGGGAGGTAAAGGAGGACGGGACTGCCACCTTTGTGAGTTCATTCTAAGACGCCTTTTTAAGCCCGCCTCCTAGGAGGTGTTATTTTGCAGTCCTCCTTCATATCATCCTTAAGGAAGGCAAAAATAAAACCCAAAACGTGTTATTTTCAACGGTCAATTCATCACAAATCGCTAGCTGCTTTCCTTTCAGCGCAGGCTTAAGCATAAACTCCGGTCTTCTTCACTAGAAGGGGAGAAAAGAAAGAAACTGAGGCAGTAGTTGAAGGGGTGGGGAAGGGGAGAGAGTCACGCAGCAGAGACTCAATTGTGCCCGCTGCTACTAGGCGAGGCAAGGTGGAGGGAATCACTCCAGCTGTAGCAGAGTTACGAAGGGAGCGGCAGGGAGCAGCGCAGTAACGGCGGCGGAAGCGACGCTAGTTGAGTGAGTAAGAAAGGGGAAGTTGTTGGTGTTTGGCGCCGGTGGAGGGAGTAATTCCTGCAGCTGCACTTCCGGTCGGCATTTTGTTCTGAGAGGGAGCGAGAGACACACACAGGGGATCTTTCTTCTCCTGCACTCGCATGTACAGAGGGAGCAGCGGCCCCTTGGCAGCTGCCCTGCCCTCCCCTCCCCCACCCCTACCCGGCGGCTTGGAATGTGTCTCGGAACCGGTTTGGTTCGGCCCGTGTTGATGTTGTGAAGCAGGCTCGGGGAAAAAGGGATTTGTCTTGGCCGCTCACCCCCTGGCTCTACATGTTCGCTGCACTGAGGAGACGGAAGAGGAGACAGCCCCCCTCCCGGCCCGGATTATTGTTGTTATATTATCTCCCATCCTCCTCCTGCTTGGCGGTGGCGGCGGCCGCGGCCTAGCAGCGGCGACAGCTCCTCTGAGGAGGGAGGGGGCGGATTTCTCTCCCCCTCTTTCGAATTCTCGCCGGATTCGGACGCCGATTTACCCAGGTAATCCCCATTCATCTCCCCTTCCTCTCTCTGCCTTCTCTAGCAGCGGGCCGGGCCTCCCGGCCCAGCACTGCCGGGAGCAAAGGGGATTACCTGCTATCTGGGATAGAGGGGAGTAAGTGGTGACCGGAGGTGTTTATTTACCAGCCCCCCTTCCTGCTCGATCGGGTCTGGGGGAGGAGATTAGTTCTTTCCGGGCTATCGGGAGGCCCAGGCCTGGCGGAGGGCGCAGGCCCGTCGGCCAGCGCATTTACTCTAGTTCGGGGATTAGAAAGACGAAGCGGTTTCTCAGTAATAGGCCTCAATCTGGAGAGGAGCAGGAGGAGGAAACAATACAGTTAGCCGCAAATGTGCACTGATCCTTTGCCATATTTACAACTTCTGAAGTCGGGGGCGAAGTAAGTGGAGGAGTAGGGAAAGAGAGAATGTAAATACCCAGGAACAAAAATACCAGCTCTCTTTGCTATTACCTTCTCTTTTTAACCAACTCTGTTCTGAACATTTAAAACTTCGAAGGCACATGTATTTATAATGTAGAGGTTTCATTTCTACATAATATTGCAATTGATTAGTGTGTTAATCACTGACTATTTATAGTATAAAGCTAGCGCTTGTGACATGATTGACACAATACGGATGCCCGCAGACCTAGACAATACAGGTAGACAAGCATATTGTGTCTGGTACTCCGCACAATCTCCATGTGCGTGTGCTGTATACATTACAGGAATATGTATCAAATGAAGATGAAATACTATTTTATGCTCTTAACAAACAGAAAATGGGAGAGGAGTCATGTATAGAGTGCTATGTTTATGACGTTTCAGGGGTCAAGGTGAAGATGAGATCTTAGCCTAAGTATTTGAGAATCAATAGTAAATTTAATTAAGTGAAAAGTGAGGAACGTTTAAAAAGTGTCATCATTTCTTATCAGGCCATATTCCTTTGAGATCCTGAGGTCGTTATTGGCTGTTTGTGTCCATGATGTTTAAGTATGTGATTAGTTGTCATTTTAACAGGTCAAATGTGTTTTGTAAATGACAATTGATTAAATGCCAGCTCTTTATTTATAAATGGTAGCTAATTTAGAGTAAGGTAAATCTTGGACTTACTGTGTGGTAGAGTTCAGAGTGTTATTAAAAGTTGAAGTAGATTTAAAATAAGCACCCTGTGAACTAATAAAAATACTCATACAGAAATTACATAATTGAGGGAAATTTTAAGATACCAAGTTTCATATAGAAAAGAAATTTGTAAATGGCAAACAAGTATCAACATTACAGAATTTGTCTATTTTTCAGTACTTTTTTTAGTTGTTTAGATAGATCTTGTAATAATAAGTGGTAATGAATTTCTGGTATATTGTGTTTAGAGTCTTATAAACTCTGCTATTGTGTCTTTGAGTACCCATATACTTGTTTAAAAGGGTGAAGTCAATATAGCTATCATGCAGGTGTGTTTTTAATGCTGTAAATCCGTGTAGTACTTAGTGGTGTGTCCGTGATTTGTATTGGTCAGAGAGCAGTTTGAATTTTAAAAAGCCTGAAGATCCTGCTGAGCCCCAATCCCTTCCTCCCTTCCTTCCTCCATTCCTGTCTTTGTGCTGCCTGGTCCTGTTGAGCACTGTTAGCAACGGCCTCAGGCCTATATGTGTGGAGGGGAACCATTTACACTTTGAAAAAGCAGCTTTTTAATTTTAAACTTTGTGAATTGCAGAGGGAGCCATTACTTGTCTCTAACTGCCTCTGTCTCTGTGTGTAGTTGCATTGCTGTTTTGTTTTGGTCCGTGGTATGCATAGAGGCCGAGTGTAACTGCTTTACAGGACAGAAAGTAGTTTTAGTTCTTGGGTAGTTTCATCATCAAGAAGGGACACGAGCTCATTTGTTTCTTTTGTCCACCCTTCATTTTAATAAAAATGGGTTAGCTAAGCCATTGTTTGAACTTTTCTGACTTATTTAAGGAGGTTTGCTTTAAATATATATGAGCAGGAAATAAGCTTACTGTAGTTATGTAGTTCCTGTCAAGTTTATCTTGCTTGGGTTGTGTTTATGATGTGCTCTTTTTTTCTTAAATCAGAAAACATGCACTTTTCTGGTATGAAAAATAGGTGTATTTATAGAAGGAAACTTAAGATGATGCCTATTTGTAATGAGGTTTTTTTGTTTGTTTTATTTGTTCTGTCATGTGTGCTTAATCCTGAATTAGTTGCACCATCACAGTTTATGTAGTTGTAAATTTTTTTTTGTCATAAAAATATATTTAACATGCAGAAATACTTAATGTGGAAATGTTTATAACATTACTTATTTTTTGTTTAGATCGTATTTTTAGCACATTTAAAGAGTGTGTGTATGCGAAGCACGAACCATCACTTTCATATGCCTTTTGCCCTAGTGTTTGGAGTTTATATTGGTCTACTCTTTTATCACAAAAGCAAACTGCTTAAGGAGGATGTAGTTATTTTATTCATGTTATGGAAATACAAAATTAATTATTCTCGAGGTGTTAGTTGTAGCAATTATTTCAATTGAAAGAGGAAAATATTTTCTTCTTGTTATTTTTATTTTGTGCTTTTGACTACCATGTACAGTTTGAATGTTTCTTGTGTACAGATTTTATTTCTTTACTTCTTTAAAACTTTCTTTTAAAGCTGTTTTTATACTTCTTTTTTAAAATAATTTTTTAACATTTTGATTTCGGAGAAACAGAACAGCATTAGAGAAGCAAAATTATACCCCTAAATAACTAAAAAAGTAAACATTGAAAAACTTTTTTTCATATTAAACTCTCTAAGTTGGAAAAATTATAGAAAAAAATGTATTGCTTTTAGTATGTGTATCACTTGGTTCTAAGTGTTTTTCCAGTTGGAGATCTCAAAATTCTTTAAATGGTTAGATATTTTCTTTTTCAGATTATTTCTCTGTCTTGATTTGAAGCACTTTATTTCCTGAAGGCGTGTGTAAGTGTAGACAGGAAATGCATTTTACAGGAGCAGTTAAAAAATGCTGGGCTGCAGTCAGGGACTCTGATAAGGAAACAGCAGACTAAAATTGCAGAAACAAACTTAATCCAGCTCTCTTCCCCGTACACTGGGCTTTTAACTACATTACTGTATTTCCCCCTTACCCTTCTGGTCCCAGTTCAGTGCTTCATACAGTGCATGGGAAATCATAGCTGACTGGTATACTGTTATAACCCACTTGATATATTTGTTTTTCTTCATAATTGTGCAGCCTACTGCTTTACCTGCTGTATGCCATACTAATAGTTAATGAATGCTGAAGTGTTTCAATCTATGAATTTGTAGGAATGACCTCAAAATAGATATCTGTACTTTATGAACATTGGAGGGTTTTTTTTGCACATCTGTTAAATATTTTCATTTTACAGATGGAAGACTGAAATTCAGTCAAATAGCAAGTTAACACAAGATTTATAAGCAATTTTCAATTTGATATGCTTTATTCTTGAGATTTGTAGAGTTACTTTACAGCACTTAGGAAGTTCATAGCATTGTTTTCTTTGACTTAGTGGTTGTGAATGCCTTGCATTTCAACATATCAAGCTCATTGTTTCTCGTGGTGGATTCCTAAGAAGTAGAGAATGGGTTTTTACCAATGGCCTTAAAACATCTATTCATTTTCAGCTGTCTTGATCATGCCAAGAGCTGGACAAGAATAAATTTTCTGTCCTGAAAAATTAAAAAGAATCATCTTCCATATTGTGAAGAAACCAAAATCTCTTAAAGTTTATCAGTAAGAACAGAGACAAGAACTAGATAGTGACCCAAATCTCACAAGTAATTAAAATGGTGTGTCTGCAATATTGAAAGCAATTAATTTCCAGCAGGAACTAGCAATCCTGGAGAGAATCCTAAGCATTGGTTATTGGCTGTTAGGAAAAGAACTCTGTCTCTTAAACAAATAATTGTTGTAGTTGGTGTAAACTGGTTGAATGGAAACCTCTGCAGCCATGTGGTCAGACCATTTCATTCTGATGTCAATTTGTTGTCCAGCTGCTGTATGGCTCTGTTAGGAAAGCAAGACTGTTCACAGGTATAGTAAGCATGCTCCTAACTAAAACATTGCTTTTGGGATGTAGGAAGTTCAAGTTCAAATGTCTAATCTGTATCAGACAGAGAAGTTGTTGAGCTTTTCTTCCACCATCTGTCTTTTTATGTTCTAAGCATGTGCTCCAGGCATGACCCAGAGACTGTGGGTATATTGTGGAACAGGTAGGATTTTAAATTATTTCTTTCCTTGTGGTAGAATTTTTAATTTTTTTTAGAAGAGTTATTTTTTTTACAAATTGTCAGTTTCCAGCAAAAATTCTCTTGGATAGAAAACTTTTAAAATTTTATTTGATCTATTAACCATTTTATTCAATTTCCTTAGTAAAAAAAATCTAGTGTCCCAAAGAAAGAATCTCCTTTTTTGTGTAACTCTGATTTGTTTAATGATATATATGTCATGCCATATATGAGGCAGGGATCCTGTGAATAACAAAAACAATATATGATCATTGAATGAATGACTATTATAATGCACAAGGGACTGAATTGTAGGTGTAAGTAACCATAATTTTCACATTTCTTAATAGTTGAGTGCTTGGTTTTATAGTTCTGATTTTTTTTCTATCTTTTTAAAAATAATGTAATTTAAGAAGCTTCTTGAATGTAAACGTATCTGTGATAAGGGTTGCACTATCTCTCATGTTTGAGCTAACAATCTCTCCTCTGTGTTGACCAGGCACTCAGAGAGGATTAAGTAATGAGTTTTTAAAATTTTATTTTCAGATCTTAGGTTTTGATAGAGACTGTTTCACTGTCTTGTATGTTATTTTCCATTTAATTATGTTGCTTCCTCTTTTTCTCCAGATATGCTTTCTGGATATTAATGATAGGGGATGTTGTGCTTTAAGCCCAGCTGGAAACTAAGCCCCACAAAGCTGCTCCCCTCCCTTCACCCCTTTGGGTGAGAGAGATAAAAGGCAGAAATTC